GTCATGTAAAGGTACAAGATCCCAATGATGAATGTAACTGTATTTTATACCTAAAATGTACCAATAAAGGTAATGGAAAAAAAAAAAAAAAGAACAATTCTAAAATTATAGAAATTTAATTAAATTAACTAAAATAATCATATTCTATGATAATTTCATTTAGTTAAGTAATTCTAAGATTATACATCCTAAATATCATTACAAAAATGTTCAGCCAGGCATAATGGTACACGTCTATAATCTATGCACGTAAGGAGGCTGAGGCAAGAGGATAGGAAGTTCAAATCTCACTTAATCAACTTAATAAGACCTTATCTCAAATTAATTTTAAAAGGCTAGGGATATAACTCAGTGGCCGAGCTCGTGGGTTGGATCCCCAGAACCATCAGAGAGGAGAGAGGAGGGATCAAAGATGACATGCAGGTAACAACAACAAAATTTATGCAGATTTTTTCATCTTACATAAAATACCCTTAAACTAATTCACTCTGTGAAATAACCATGATGAAACTCATAGTAAAATGAATCATCACCCAGTATCAGAAACAAATAACTATTTATATCCACTTACTGCAATCTCTCTACAAGCTGACATGGATATTCCTGTTCCTTCAATTTGCTTCAATGCATATTCCTTTTCATCTTTTCTGCAAATGAACAAAAATAAATTACTTTTCCATATATTACCTTCAAATCAAATATTACAAATATAAAAACTATGAGAATCCACTATTCTCTCAGTGATATGTAAATACTTACTATGCCATGCATTGCTTATTTTTGATAATATTTCAGTTACACAAATATGAAATACCAAAAGAAATTCATGTCACCATGAAAACACAAGATAAGCCAAAACACAAAATTCAAAATTGAAGAGAATAAGATACTAAACAGAGTGCTAGTTTCAAAGAGTAAACAAGCATAAATATAAACTGAAACATATTGCAACATTAATTCCAGTCCTGTCTTAATTATCTGAAGTCTACAAAAGCATTCTGCTATAAACAGTCACTACAAAAATACCTGACAGATATAAACTCCCATATTCACTTAAAATAATTTCACAGTATAAGAAGCATTCATAGGAAGGAGAACCCACTGGAAAACACTAATTCTCACCTAGGATAGGAGATAATTCAAAAGCTCCAAGATTCCCACCAAAACCCTTTAAGACTTCAAAACTTAGCCACCATCTCATTCTCAAGAAACTCTTGGAGAAACCTAGTAGTTAGGTAGGTTTTTGTATGTAATAGCAAATTAGCAATCTAGAGAATTCCTATAGTATCAGGGTGTTTAACTAAGGAAGACTGCCAGTTCAATAGTATCAAGTGAGTGGCTAGTATAACACAGTAAATATCCTTAGGCCACTGACTCAGAACCAACCACATAAAGGCCCCAGGCTGAATGTCATAATTGAGAACCATATTATGGGTTGTTCTGATAACAGGGGCATAATCCATGCTCTCTGAATTTTGCCTTGTAATTAACTGTACAGTACTAAAGACTCAGCAAACTATCACCATGCTATGATCATTCTGTCACATGACTGAATATGCCATGTGTTCCTACTTAGCTATACCTCATTTTCCCCATTCTGGATCTAGCAGATAAAGCAGTTTAAGAGGTTATTCATAGTGGGTCTTTTAAACATCATTTTCTATGTCTTTTGAAGATTTTTTGCAATCATTTACGTTTTGGCTAAATAAACAATTTATGGTTACTTTCTACCATAATCACTTACATCTATTTTTCTTCCAATACATGGCATTCAGTACATAATTAAGATAGATTTATGTATGTATGTATGTATTTATTTATTTATTTAATTTATGGTACTGGGCTTTTGCACTGAGGTACATTCCCAACCAGTTTATTTATTTATTTACCTTTATTTATGGTGCTGGGCTTTTGCACTGAGGTACATTCCCAACCAGCCCCTTCTAAATTTTTTGAGACAGGGTCTCACTAAGCTGCTAAGTTGCCCAGGTTAGGCTTGAACTTGTGTTCGCTTGACTCAGCCTCCCAGAATGAAGGATTACAAGTGTGCACCACAATACATGACTAGCACTTTGTTTGTTTGTTTTGCATCATGGTCTCACTCTGTGGTCCAAGCTGGCCTTGAACTTGCTATGTAGGCCAAGAATCCATAAACTCACCATCTGCCTGGCTCAACCTTCCACTGGCATATACCACCAGGCCTGGCTAGGCTTAGCCACAGTTTGATAAACAAGATACATCAAAAGGATGAACTATGATGCAATTATTAAAATGACTGTGAAGGTCACTAGAAACATGAAAACCTTCTATCACATATTACTAAGAAAATACATAAATTACAGAATAATAAATATATCCACCTATACATATACTGAATACAAAAAATAAAAACAGATCTGTTAAAATTCAGGAAGTATTGTGAAATAGGAAGAAAAGGTCTAAAGGAGTAGGGGAAGTGGGAGGGATGGGGAAAGGAAAGAAGGGAAAATAAAAAATATGCAAAAAGAAAAAGAGAAAAGGAAAAACTGGAAACAAACTCTCTATAAATAGGGAAGGATGGAGGGGGTGACGGGAGGGCAGGGGAATGGGGAAAAAATAAGAACCAAGATAAATCATGTAAAGGTACAAGATCCCAATGATCAATGTAACTGTACTGTATACCTAAAATGAACCAATAAACTTAATGGAAAAAAAAATTCAAGAAGTCACTGGGTATGATGGTGCACATCTTTAGTCCCAGCTACTTGGAAGGCAGAGGCATAAGAATTCCAAGTTTAAGCAGTTTGAGCCCAGCCTGGCCAATTTAACACAATCATATCTCAAGATAAAAAAAATAAAATAAAGGGATTGGAAGCGCAGCTCAGTGCTCCTTAGGTTCAATCTCCAATACTTGGGGGAAGAAGGGGGATTCAGTAAGTCATGTTAACTAACTTTGGTTATAATATTGTCATTTATCCAGGCGCAGTGGCACATACCTGTAATACCACCACTTAGAAGGCTGAGGCAGCCAGATGCAAGGATAGTCTAATCTACATAGCAAGTTCAAAGCCAGTCTAGACTACAAAGACTATCTCGAAGAGGAAAAAAAAAAAGATTCCAAATTAAAATGGGGGAAGCAGCCAAACCAATATGATACTCTGGAAATAATTAATGACAATAATCTTTAGTATATCCAAAGTGATAGATCAGGCATGTTTTAAAGAGCAAAGTTAAAAATTAGGGAAATAAATCTTAAAGTCATCATTTTTTCCCTAATTTCTCCATCCAGTTTCCTGTTTTTTCAGACAGTTCAGAAGCCCCTGGAAAGCACAGGCAGCAGATGACTGAATAATTAGTCAATGTTCTCTTTTCCTTAAAGGTGTATATAGGTATGTGAGAGTCTGTGTGCCTGAAATGACCTGACACAATGCTTACATCATCTTATACTATATATATATTTTTTTTTAATAATGAAATTAACTAGTGGGTATCTATTACTAAATTATTTAAGTTTAAGAAATTCTTGAAACAAAATTATAAAAACTTTCACATGCAATCACAATTTTTAACAGAAAAATTTCAATCCCAGTTCCTCTAAATGAAATGCTCCAGAAGCTCATGTAACTGCATAGTTTTATTTTTAATACTGTAAAGAATATTACACAATCTGGATAGGCTATCGTTGCTATGGAAACTATAAGGTTTTTTTTGTGGGGTTTTTTGCAGTAAGTCAAAAAAGTGCAAAATTAACACATCACATTAATGGCTTTTGAATTTCACATCCAGGCTGTCAAAGGAATTTGAAAGCTTAAGCAGAATAGACTGAAGCATAGTCCTCTTACTCTGAATTATATGGATAGAAATAAGGAACCCAATAATTATTTCACTTAATATGTTTAAATATAACTTCCATCTGTTAAATTAATACTTTAAAAACTGCATTTTTAAGATTTGCAGCTTTTAAATTCAGAATGAAAGAAAGTACATATATCAGCACCATTTCTCTCTTGTACACTGTCAAATGATAAATGGTAAGATTCATTCACATGAAGAAATGGCAAGGCCCCAGGGGTCATATAGGATTCCTTGACACTACACTATATCAGTGCCAATCTTTAGTTAGATGTCAGTATTTTAATATGAAGACTGAAGATGTGTTTTTTACCACAGTGACCACAATTGTTTATTAACAAGGTACACAGGGAAAGGAAGCTCCTCTCCCATCCCATAAGAGGATCCCTCTCCAGGAGTTCCTCCAGGTGGTAATGCAATTTATACCCCATTACTTGGATGTTTCAGGTACATGTAATATTAAGTACCTTAAAACTACAATTTTTTCTTCTGATATAACAATGCTGAAAAGTAGGTGAAACTGGCTTGCCCTGCTCTGATAGTCTAGCTTTTTGAGGCAGTCTACTTCTACCATAAAACTATTTTCTAAATTACTTTTATTTCTAAATAACATAAAGGCAAAGCAATTCCAGTTTCAAAGAAACTGCTTTCTATATTTTAATGTGTATTAGATAGCATGACTAACACAACTGCAATTAGAAAATAACCAAATGAGCTTACTAAGTAAATTCAGAAGACTAAAACATATATTTGTAGTAAAAATATGGATGTGATAAGTAGAATTTTTAAGTATAAAACATGTCTCTTATATGTCCATAATATATATAAACATCATGCAAACTTCACACTCAGCTGTCACAACAGAAACAACTGATGGAACATTATACAACACAAAAATAGGAAAATAAATTAGGCAGAGATTAGGTTTTCCATCTAAGACATTACGTTCTAGAAACATCTTGAGGCAAGTAATTCTATAGACAGAAGAAAAAATAAGAAGCATGCATTTGTGCACAGAGTAGAAATCATTACCTTAAAATGAAAGTTTAATCCTAGGCAGAAAATCAGGTTCAATGAAAAAAATTAAATGTAATTCAGAGAAGATTTTTTTCTAAGTATAGAGAAGCAAGTCTAGTAGGAACAACTCCTGAATAAAATATTGAAAACCAATTTAATGAAAAAGATGTTCTTACTCTTTTCAATAACGTCTAAACTTGGTGATTAGTTTCTACCGAACTGTAGTAAGATAAAGCACCATTCAGCAGCCTACCTGTACAAGAAAAGTTAGGGTTTAGCCAAAACTCCAAGTATTATAGTCATAATTAGACCAAATCGAGGCTCTCTGGCTACCACTACTATAGGTATCCAGGTATCCAGGCAAGCCTTGAGCCATTTTAATCCCAAGAACCTATATGAAACAATAACCTTAGAAGAATCTTTGAAGAAAAGATGAAGCCACACATGACGATACACACCTGTAATCCCGGCACTCAGGGAGATGGAGGCAGGATTCCAAGTTTGATCCCAGCCTCGGCAATTTAGTTGACTTAGCAAGACCCTGTGTCAAAACTGAAAAAGGAATGGGAATATAGCTCAGTGTGAAGGCCCTGGGTTTAATCCTCATACTAGAAAGAAAAAAAAAAAAAAGGAAGAAAAGATAAGAATATGGAATTCAAGCTCAAGTGGAGCTGTAGAAAAATTTATTAACTATTCAAACGAAAAGGATTAAGATATTTTTTGTTTCTAATGAAAACAGAAGAGCCTTATTATTTTATAGCAACTATTGAGTTCATATTACGTATCCCAACATTATGAT